TGTGATGTCTGTATGTTTTATGCTTGTAGTGACGTCTCTGGTACTTTGTCTTACAGGGTCCCCCTTAGGATCTCTTGTAGGGCTGGTTTAGTGGTGACAAATTCCTTCAGTTTTTGTTTGTTTGGGAAGACCTTTATCTCTCCTTCTATTCTAAATGACAGACTTGCTGGATAAAGGATTCTCGGCTGCATATTTTTTCTGTCTAGCACACTGAAAATCTCGTGCCAATTCTTTCTGGCCTGCCAAGTTTCAAAAGAGAGATCCGTCACGAGTCTTATAGGTCTCCCTTTATATGTGAGGGCACGTTTACCCCTTGCTGCTTTCAGAATTTTCTCTTTATCCTTGTATTTTGCCAGTTTCACTATGATATGTCGTGCAGAAGATCGATTCAAGTTACGTCTGAAGGGAGTTCTCTGTGCCTCTTGGATTTCAATGCCTTTTTCCTTCCCCACTTCAGGGAAGTTCTCAGCTATGATTTCTTCAAGTACCCCTTCAGCACCTGTCCCTCTCTCTTCCTCCTCTGGGATACCAATTATGCGTATATTATTTCTTTTTAGTGTATCACTTAGTTCTCTAATTTTCCCCTCAAACTCCTGGATTTTTTTATCTCTCTTTTTCTCAGCTTCCTCTTTTTCCATAACTTTATCTTCTAGTTCACCTATTCTCTCCTCTGCCTCTTCAATCCGAGCCGTGGTGGTTTCCATTTTGTTATGCATTTCGTTGAAAGCGTTTTTCAGCTCCTCGTGACTGTTCCTTAGTCCCTTGATCTCTGTAGCAAGAGATTCTCTGCTGTCAGCTATACTGTTTTCAAGCCCAGCGATTAGTTTTATGACTATTATTCTAAATTCACTTTCTGTTATATTATTTAAATCCTTTTTGATCAGCTCATTAGCTGTTGTTATTTCCTGGAGATTCTTCTGAGGGGAATTCTTCCGCTTGGTCATTTTGGATAGTTCCCGGCGTGGTGAGGACCTGCAGGGCACTTCCCCTGTGCTGTGGTGTATAACTGGAGTTGGTGGGCGGAGCCGCAGTCAGACCTGATGTCTGCCCCCAGCCCACCGCTGTGTCCACAGTCGGACTGGTGTGTGCCTTCTCTTCCCCTCTCCTAGGGGCGGGATTCACTGTGGGGTGGGGTGGCCTGTCTGGGCTACTTGCACACTGCCAGGCTTGTGATGCTGGGGATCTGGCGTCTTAGCTGGGGTGGGTAGGCAAGGTGCACAGGGGCAGGAGGGGCAGGCTTAGCTTGCTTCTCCTTAGGTGATCCACTTCAGGAGGGGCCCTGTGGCAGCAGGAGGGAGTCAGATCCGCTGCCGGAGGTTTGGCTCCGCAGAAGCGCAGAGTTGGGTGTTTGCGGAGCGAGCAAGTTCCCTGGCAGGAACTGGTTCTCTTTGGGATTTGGGGTGGGGGATGGGCAGGGGAGATGGCGCTGGCGAGCGCCTTTGTTCCCCACCAAACTGAGCTCTGTCGTCAGGGGGCTCAGCAGCTCTCCTTCCCTTCGTCCTCCAGCCTTCCCGCTTTCTGAGCAGAGCTGTTAACTTATGACCTCCCAGCCACTAAGTCGCGCTTGCTGTAGGAACACAGTCCGTCAGGCCCCTCCGCTTTTTGCAAGCCAGACTCGGGGGCTCTGCTTGGCCGGCGAGCCGCCCCTCCGCCCCGGCTCCCTCCCGCCAGTCCGTGGAGCGCGCACCGCCTCGCCGCCCTTCCTACCCTCTTCCCTGGGCCTCTTGTCTGGGCTTGGCTCCGGCGACTCCGTTCTGCTAATCCTCTGGCGGTTTTCTGGGTTATTTAGGCAGGTGTAGGTGGAATCTAAGTGATCAGCAGGACGCGCGGTGAGCTATACAGTTATATTTATAAGCATTTATTTACCCATTGCAGATAGGTGTGTTTAGTGTTTTACAGTTTTCTTGAATACATTTGGTAACAAACTCATGTCAATGTCTATAGGGTAGGTTTTAAAATGGGATTAGCTTATTCCTAAAAGAAGATTGTAGAGAAAAAAAAATGTTCTCAATGATTAGCTTTTTATTTTAGTGATAGTTCATGCTCTCACATAAATATGTGTAATTTCCTACAGAATATGTCTTAGTGATTGAGACTGAGGATATGTTCAAAACCTTTTTAATCTAACCAAGTAGCAGAATGTGTTCTCTAAGTGTTCAGATATTTATACTCTATTTTTATCAGTTGTTGTGGATAGATAATTTTTTGTGGATATGTTTACATGTCTGTTAGCTTCCTTTTGCTACTGAAACAAGTGACCAGAAACTTGGTGTCTCAAAATAACACAAATTTGTTTTCTTAAATGTTTGGAGGTCAGAAGTCTAAATTATTTCATTAAGGCTGCATTCCTTTTGGAGGCCATAAGAGAGAAGGTGTTTCCTATCCATTTCCACTTTCTAGTTACCATCTACATCCCTAGGTTATGGCTCCTTTCTCTATCTTAAGAGTCATCAGAGTAGAATCTTCTCTCCTCTCTGAACTCTGCTTCTGTCCTTAGATCTTTTCTCTGACTTTGATCCTCTTGCCTTTCTCTTATAAGGATCTTTATGATTACATCGGGACCACCCAGATAGTCCAGGATAACTTCTCCTTCTCAGGATCCTTAATTTAATTTATACCCACCAAGTTCCTTTTACCATGTAAGGTAACATATTCACAGGTTTTAGAGACTAGGATGTGCACATCTTTGGGAACTATTATTCAATCTGCCACACTTAGGAATTGTTTTTCTCATGTTATAGCCATATCTTCATATTTTTTTTACAGTTTTATTTATTTATTTATTAAAAAAAATTTTTTTTTTCAACGTTTATTTATTTTTGGGACAGAGAGAGACAGAGCATGAACAGGGGAGGGGCAGAGAGAGAGGGAGACACAGAATCGGAAACAGGCTCCAGGCTCTGAGCCATCAGCCCAGAGCCTGACGCGGGGCTCGAACTCTCGGACCGTGAGATCGTGACCTGGCTGAAGTCGGACGCTTAACCGACTGCGCCACCCAGGCTCCCCTACAGTTTTTTTTATTATTTACTTGTTGAAGGTATACATATATATTGCTGTCTCATTGTTGACTTAGACTTTATGATTTATAACTAAAGTATTTTGAATATGTTTACTTTTGTTTCTTCCTATCCTTACTGTCACCACTTTCTACTCTCTTCAGCAAATATTACAGTGATGGCCCCTAATCAGTTTTCTTGTCTCTACTTTTGCTTTCCTACCACCCATTCTCTACTTTCACAACCAGAATGAACTTACTGAAGTCCAAATCTGATAATGTCACTCTCCTTATTAAACATCTACAATGCCTTGCCATTACTCCTATGATAAATGATAATAGCTGACAGTTTGAGCACTACTTATGTGCATTATTGTGATTGTTATCCCCATTGTCCTTATTTGACATGTAATGAAACAGGCTTACAGAAGTGAAGTAATTAACTCAAAGTTCCAGAATCAGTCATTTCCCCAATTTTTTTCAAAAACTGTGTCTGTTTTTCAGAGGTGCCATAACCTCCTTCTAAGTTTTTTCTCCTTAAAATGTTTTACACACTCCCATTTCTCCTTCCGTTCCTATTTCCTAGAAGACCCTAGTTTGTCCCTCAATACTCAGCTTGAGTCATTCTGTGGAAAACCTTCCTGAGCCTCCCCCTTACCCAAAATAAATTCACACACAAATAAGACAAAATTAGGTTAAGTGACAGCCCTTATATATATTTAAATTACTCTATGCATTTTAGCACTTACCCATAGCAAACTGTAATTTCTACTGACCCTAAGCTCTTAATGATTATTAAACTGCTCCACTGGCCTCTTTGCTGCCTTTGAATTCATTAAAATGTTTCTTGTCTTAAAGCCTTTAAATTTATAATTTCGATACCTGGAAAACTTCCCCAAAACTTCTTATGACATCATTCTCACTTTATTTGGATTTTGCTCACTTGTCACCACCTTAGGCCTTTTATGGCCTGTTGTCACTTTCCATTCTCTTACACGGTTTTATTTTTCTTCTAGCACCTACCACTGACATTATGTCTAGAATCTGTTTGTTTTAGTTATTGTTTATCTCCTCTACTAGAATGTAAACTCTTTGAGGGCAGGGACTGGGTCCATTTTTTTTTTTTTTTTCACATTCTGCCTCTAGCAACTGGTTCAGTACTACCTGCCTCATAGAAGATGTTCAGTGAGTAATTGTTGAAGGAATATATCTTGTCTTATTTCTTACCAAAAGCCTATGAACTAAGTACCAGTAACTCTATTTTATAGATGCAGAAATAGAATCAGGAGAGTTAGGTAACATCCTATCCTCAAGGTTGTACAGCGTAGTAAATGGCAGAATTGGATTCTAGACAAGATATTTCTGACTTCAAAGTGATTGTTCTGAACAATTAATATTTTATTAATGACACAGCTCGTTTTAAAGGAAATTTAAACAGTATGTATGACAGAGTTCCCAGGTAATGAGAAATTTGCTTTAACATCTTATTAAAGCACTTTATCAGTAAATTCTTGGACATAGCATCCTAGAATTGAAACCTTCAGATCATTAACTATCTTGTTTCATTTGAAAATAAAGGAAAACCTCTAGGAAGGTGCATTGACTGCCTAAAGATACAGAATGTGTTAAATCATAGAGCCTGACCTGGGTCATTGAGTTCTCCACTTCAGTCTTATAACACACAATTCATAAAATTAATTTTTGTTACTTTATTACTTTTAGTCCTGTGCAGTTCATTTCTTGAATTTCTAATAATAAAGCAAATACTGAATTTATTAAAAAATTTTTTTTTTCCAACGTTTATTTATTTTTGGGACAGAGAGAGACAGAGCATGAACAGGGGAGGGGCAGAGAGAGAGAGGGAGACACAGAATCGGAAACAGGCTCCAGGCTCTGAGCCATCAGCCCAGAGCCTGACGCGGGGCTCGAACTCACGGACCGCGAGATCGTGACCTGGCTGAAGTCGGACGCCCAACCGACTGCGCCACCCAGGCGCCCCTGAATTTATTTTATTAAAAGTGTTTCTTTAAAACTGACAGAATATCAACTTGCAAGACCTTCTGATGCAAACAGAAAGGAAATGTTGTTTGGAAGCCTTGCTAGACCTGGACATCCTATGGGGAAATTTTTTTGGGGTAAGATGTTTTATACCTTCATCTTCTTTCTCTCCCCTCCCCCTCCTCCGCCTCTTCCCTCTCCTCTCCCTTCTTCTCTACCTCCTCCTCCTCCTCCTCTTCCTTCTTCTTTTGGCAGAAGTGTTATTTTTTTAATTTAAATTTTAATTAACATACAGTGCAATCTTGGTTTCAGGATTAGATTATTTTCTAATTGAGGAAGATTGAGAATATGCAAAGTTGATTAAGAATGGAAGACTGTGAAAGAGTAGCTGGGCACCTTTTAGGATTGGTAGGCAGCTTCTCAAATAGAAAGTGGTTGAGCATGCATGTATTTGGTTTTCTGACATTAGGTATATCAAGAATAGCACTTAATGTTTTGTGAATGCTTTTTGAGTGCCAGATACTCTGCTAACACTACGTGAATTACCTCATTTGATCATTGTTAACATTGTTATGAGCTGGGTCCCATTATCATATCCATTTAAAGATAAAGAAACAGCTTCAGGGAAGTTATTTAATTTGCTTAAATCACACGGTGTTGGGTGTGAGATTTGAACCTCTATTTTTATATGATTATAAAGTCTGTGCTCTACCCCAACCTGGTATTTCCCTTTATCAACAGAGATTCAGCAATGTGACCAAATTTTGTTTAAATGGTAAGCTGTTTAAATGGTATGTTTTTTATAATGGCTTTTTCTTAGTGTTAGAATTCAGTTATAGCCTTATATTAATGCTTTTGACCGTAAGGTAGAATCTGAGATGAGTTGATCTAAATAGTACTTCATTCAAAGCCTGTTCTGCTTCCCGTATATCTTGTACAGTTATATGCAATTTATATGACAGCCTTGCTTTATGTGGTTTATTTTTAAGGATTATGTAGAATATTATTAAAATAATTCAGAGATAAAACCTGAATTGGATGCTAGACTAATGATTAAGAGAAGAAGCTGAAGACAATTACTGTTGTTAAGGTATTGCCAATTGGAGATTAATTCCTTATGTGTTAAAATACACTTCAGAATTGTTTCTTTTGGATTTTTGTCCTATATTGATATTATTGTTATGCATTGATTCTATATTCTTGAGTCACTTAGGTTCATTAGTTATGTATCAGTAGCAGAGCATGCATTTTTGGTATAGAGGCTTTTGACAAAGTAAACATATTTAAAATATTTTAATTTTAGTGTGGTTCAAAGTAAACTACTTATTTCTGTGATGTTTTTCATCTTTTTTTTTTTTTTACAGGAAATGCTGAGACACTGAAACATGAGCCAAAAAGGAATAATATTGATACACATGCTAGATTGAGAGAATTCTGGATGCGTTACTATTCTGCTCATTACATGACTTTAGTGGTTCAATCCAAAGGTAGTATATTGTCTTTTATGGCCCTTAGAATTATGTTGAAGTAGTGCTTTCTTAGGATTTGTTTGCCTTGATTAGTGTTGCAGGGTATTATTAATTATTTTAGTGCTTGACCTTAATATGACCTAAAGGAAGTCAGGGTTTGGAAAAGTCACATAGCAAGTGGCACAGCTTAGCAATCACAAAATCATCTGATTCTCAGGCAAATGTTTTTTTCTTTTATAGACATAGGTCTTATCTCTAGGCTGGTCTATGAGCTTACTGATGTTCTGATAGGCCATGAATTGGTCTTTTAGGTCACATTTAGTTGCTGCCTCTGTAAACTCTGACAGAGCAAGGTGTCTGTCTTTTCATCTTTACGTAGGGTCCAGTAAAATGGCATGATTAATTGAAATCCATCATGGTGATAATAGCAAAATGTAAAATACTGATCAGTACTTCTTTTCCTTCTTTTGTCATTATCTTCAGCAATTTGTGTTAACTTTTTATCGTTAAAGAAATCATGGTAGCTTTCGTTTTCTTTACACTTCAGGAAGTTGCCAAACTTCTTTTTGACATATACTATAGTTTGCGCATTTGATTTTGAAAAAGTAATCTTCTCACCCTATGACTCTCCTTTTCATAAGATTTTGTTCTTTCGTTGTCAAAATTGAAATTGAAGCTGACCTGGCACTTAAATATGAAACATTTTTGCGTTTAGGATCAAAATTAGTCCACTAAAAGTTGATTTGAATCTAAAGCTATGGCTATAGAATGGTAGATTCTTTTGTTCAGACTACAGACGTGTATCTAAATTCCTTTTACAACATTTGTTAAAATAGGCAGTTCCATATTCAGTATATAATTTACAGTTTTTAATTCCTATTTCCAAGTGCGTCACAAACACGCATTTTTCTTCAACTATGTATTGTTTCCTTTATTAATGCTTGTTGCAAATTTCTAAAATAAACCCTAGATATTTGATAAGAGAACCTTATACAATTTAAATTCAATTGTTTTTTAAGCTTTAGCATTTATCCATTTAAGAGTTGAATATCTATATATATAGTACAGAATAAATTCAGAACTTGATTAGTCTAATTTGTATCTTGTGTTTTACATAATGGGGCATCTCTTGAAAATTAGTGAAACTTGTGTCTGGTGGAAGTACAAATACTATTCGGTAATAGTAATGAGTCAGTGGGATAAAGGAAAAAGGTTTCTTTTTGTACCGAGATCTGCTTTTAAAAAGAATTTTGTATGAAATACAGGAATCAAAAGAAGATAGAAATCATATTATATGCAACCTAAGAGGAAGACTTACAGATTAAAACCTCAGCAAGTATAAATTAATGTAAAATAAATGGAATGTTGACAGTACTAATGAAATCCTGAGAAAGAATGATCAGTATAGTGTGGATTAATTGGGAGAAACCTTCCTAGAAGAATTAAGTTTTAGAATGGAGTAGGAGGATGGAGATATTTTTACTCTTGGCTCTCCACAGTAGCCTAGTGATAAACAAAAACTTTCCTTTTTTTTATAAAACAAAACAAAACAAAAACTTGTGTACATTTTCTAACTTTACCAGCTAGAAATACAGGAGTCTAATAAAATTATGTGTCTTAAGGTTTTCTTAACTATTGTTTTTATTGCTGTTGGTACTTATTACTGGTTAAGGAGTGGCAAGTAATGCCCAAATTAAAGTATCCCTTTGTTTTATACCTAAAGATTTTATACCTAAATCTAATTGCATTTCTTCCTTCAATAACAACATTGTATTTCCCTGTCTCCTACCTGCCCTCCCCAAAGAAACACTGGATACTTTGGAAAAGTGGGTGACTGAAATCTTCTCTCAGATACCAAACAAGTAAGACATTAATTTTCATAAACCATATGCTTTAAAGAATTAAAGAGGCATCTTCTTGTATGAATCCTAGAGGTGGTCCCCCCACCCCTCCTGCCTGGGGAGGGGGTGTTATTTTTTAAACAGGTGATTAAGACCTAAAATGGTTTAGCAAGATCACATAGCTTTTTGATTGGGAAACCAAGATGAGAGCCCAAGTTTCCATAATGTCTGTAGTTCAAAATTTATAAGCTTGCAATCTTACAGTAAGTAATAATTCTGAAGAATTTATGGCTCTTTCTCCTTTTACAGTTATTCAGAGTTTTTCTGTTACTGTGTAGAGTGTTTGACACTGTGTTTTGAAAGCAAGTATTATATCGAGAGGCAGCCTCTATATACACTTGTATACCCTGCCTCAGAACAAATTTTGTTCTGAAAGTTTGTTTGTTTGTTTTTTTTTTTTTAGTATTTATTTATTTTTGAGATAGAGACAGAGCGTAAGCAGGGAAGGGACAGAGAGAGAGGGAGACACAGAATCCAAACAAAGCTCCAGATTCTAAGCTATCAATACAGAGCCTGACGTGGGGCTCGAACTCACCAGCCGTGAGATCGTGACCTGAGCCAAAGTCAGACACTTAACTGACTAAGCCACCCAGGCGCCCCTGGAAGTTTGATTTTTAAGTCTGTTGTTTGGGACTTGGATTGCTTTCCTCCATAAAATAAATAATCTTGTAGGTGATGATTGACTTTCCATACGAGCTAAAAAGTCTGTTTCATATATTTGAACCAAATTATCTTTTATTAGAAATTGTATATAGAGTTCCAGTTGAAATAACTACTACTTTTTATCTACCTCAAATTCTTCAAAATAATAGTTATTTAAAATACGTTTTATTGCTACATTTTTGTTACAAAGAATATAAAAAATAAATTCTGAAGTACTTAAGTCCTTTTTTCTACTCCTAAGTAGTTTGCATTTTAATACAATAAATGAAAAGTTTTTTTCTTGCATCAGGTGAGTAAGCTAGATTTCTTCCAGTTCCTCATTCCAGGGCATAATTTAAGTTTATGAAAGAAAAATTCACTATGAAAATGTTAGAATATTGTAGTAACAGCTGAATGATTATTATTAACTTGGCTTTATGTAAATTTCCATTGATAATTAGCAGTACTTTTATGTATGGAAAAATAATGAAAGTCATGCTGTAGTTGTAGGGTTGTTTTGTTTGGTTTTGGTTGTTTTGATAAGAAATGAGTATGAGCTATGGAAATGTTAAATGGCAGATTGAAGTGTGTTTTACTGTGAAACTTTGCCAATAAAATCAGAAGTATATTGATTGGAGAGATTCATTAGGTCCTGTCAATCCCTGATAAGCACTTTTAGAAATTCTCTTAAATAATACTCACTAATAACTTTGGTTCTAAAAAATCTTCTAGGTATTTAATAATAATTCATATTGACCACGTTTTAGAAGAAATAGTTAATATCTTCAACCACATGAGAAGCCTCCAGAAGGAAAGGCCATGTCTTTTAAATACCACAATGCCTAATACAGTGCTTCATACCTAATAATTATTTCATATATATTTGTTGAATTAAAAAAATATCTCTAGTATGTTTTCTTTCTGAAGTAGCTTTATACAGGAGGAGACTTGAAGTTGAATGGGGCTGATAGAGGTAGTAAATATTGGGCAGGGAGGCCCCTTCAATTGTTTTCTGTCTCCCATGAGTTTTAAAGGCATTTGAATTACTAGGACTGAGGTTGACATGACAGTTCAGGATTTTGTGGCTTTGTTGCCATCTATTTGCTTATGCCTAGAATGCTTTTCAGCCAGGAGTATGTAGAATAGATTATAATTATAAATACCTATCAGTTAGGCATCCCTAAAGATACTGCTTATAAAGGCTTTTGCCAATTAAATTTTAATGTATGTGTTTTATTTTCAGTGGGTTACCCAAACCAAACTTTGGCCATTTAACGGATCCATTTGACACACCAGCATTTAACAAACTTTATAGAGGTTCGTGAACCAAAGGTTTAAAACTGTTTGAAATAACTTCAGCGCATTCTCTAAAACATAATTGAGGCTGCCAATTTTCTTTGAAAATGATAGCAGAAAGTATAGCTGGGTTGGAAAGGAAGTATAAGGACAGAGGAGATCCAATTAGTGACAGGCCAGTAACTGGCAGCAGATTGGTCTGCTACCCTGCTGCTACTTGAGTCTGTTTCATGCTTTGTCCCTGTTTTCTCCTTGTTCTTTTTATTCTTTGGTTTTTGCTTCTTTCCTATTTCATTTAATCTATGCTCTGCTCTTTATTACCTTTAAAAAGAGAAAAATACAGGACGGATAAGACTTTCAAATTATTTCCTTTTATCTTAATTATAAAACCAATTTTGTTAAATGAAGAAAAATAAAAGTAAAAATGAAGTGTAAAGAAATAGGGGGGAAAGTCACCCTTAAAGCTTACCACGTAGAGAAGTCATTTTCGCAAATTTCCTTTTGACAAAGTTTCTATGGGTATATTTTAACATACTCGAGATCATAAAATATGTACACTTCTATCTCTTGCTTTTTTTCATTTAATATGGGTAATAATTTCCCAATGAGCTCTGCTATAATTTACTTAATAATTTGCCCATAGTGAATATTGCAGAAATACTCTTTTTTTTTTAAATTTTTTTTTAATGTTTATTTTTGAGAGAGAGAGAGAGAGCATGAGCAGGGGAGGGGCAGAGAGAGAGGGAGACACAGAATCCAAAGCAGGCTCCAGGCTCCGAGCTGTCAGCATAGAGCCCGACGCGGGGCTCGAACCCACGGACTGTGAGATCATGACCTGAGCCGAAGTCGGACGCTCAACCGACTGAGCCACCCAGGCGCCCCCAGAAATATTCTTAATTCAGCTTTTCTCTTTCTTTGATCTTTTTAACATGGCAGGTTTTTTTTCTTTTTTTCCTGATTGCTTAGGTATTTCCTCCACTTCCTCCTTCACCCCATTGGCTGTCTCTCTCCTCTTCCCTTTCTTTGATCAATGGCTTTTTGTCACACTTTTTATCTGCCTTCTGTTCCATTCTATCTAAGCTGACTCTTCCCAGAGACAACTTATTTTCAGTTGTAGTTTTTTTATCCATGTTTTCTCCACCTGTGAAACCAAATTGAAGAGAAATTTCCAAAAATTGCGCTATTCAAATTGGAAAATTGGCAACTTGAAATAATAATTGCATTGTATTTAACCTTCCCCTGTTTATTGGAGGATGAAATATATTGCAGTAAAAAATCGTGTAGCATAATAAAAATTATGGAAAGACACTTATATCTGCTTTTCTGAAAAATATTTTTGTTTAGTTGTTCCAATCAGGAAAATTCATGCTCTGACCATCACATGGGCGCTTCCCCCTCAACAGCAACATTACAGGTAAGAGTTGAAGGGCAAATTTACTCTAGTACATACTGAATGAGAGTCATATTTTTAAAGAATACTAAATGGTTTAAATTTGAGTGTTCTGTAATGTGATAAACTGGGACTTCACTACTCCTAGAGTTTTCAAACTGTGCTGTATATTTTAATGTCTTCTGGGATAAAAACTAGAGTTTTCTTACAGCTGGTTTCCTCTTCTGAGTCTTTGAAATTAAGTATCTTTGTACGAGTGCTAACTTTTGTAATTAATTTCTTTAGTACTTTGAGTACAAAAATATATTAGCTTATGATTTATTTGTCAGGGGTGATCATTTAGTTTGATTTTTTTTAATGTTTTATTTTTGAGAGAGAGAGGGACAGAATGAGGGAGACACAGAATCTGAAGCAGGTTCCAGATCAGACGCTTAAACGAGTGAGCCACCCAGGCGCCCCTCAATTTGATCTTGTTAAAAGTAAAGTTAAATAATTTTGAGCCTAGAATATGACTACAGCTGAAATCTTAAGGACCTACACATTTGAGGTGGTAATGAGTTAGGGAAGATTTATTCAGATTAGGAAAACATTTCAACTGAGCAGTATAGCTTGAGCTAAGATGTTTTTTAAAGATCAGTCAATGCCTACAAATACTTTTCTGATTAAAAACAAATGCTAATGAACTGATAAAAGTTTACCTTGTTTTTTTTTTAAACCATAACCAACAAAACCAAACCATAAGAATAGACACACAAGCAGAAGTAATGTTGCTTAAGTTCAGTAAAAAATTTTTTCACATGTGATAGAATATTCAAACATCCCATCAAGAATGATACCATTCTCACTTACAGTGAGAAAGTAGAGGACATGTGTATTGTCTACTTGCTTTTGGTGCAAGGATAATACAGGAAAAAGCAGTGTACATTGATTGTGTAGTTATGGTAGATTGTGCCCAAAAGTGTTAAAATTCTTATGTGCATATTATTTAATTTTGAGAGAGAGAGAAAGAGAACACGTGTGTGTGAGCAGGGGAGGGGCAGAGAGGGAGGGAGACAATCTCAGGTAGGGGATTCTGACGTGAGATCTCACAGGCTGTGAGAACTTGACTTGAGCCAAAATCAAGAGTTGGAGACTTAACAGGCTCAGCCACCTACATGCCCCTATTATGTGCATATTTAAAAGTTTTTACTATAAAAATAATACTTGTAAAATATTAAAATAGGACAAAAGAGTATTTAGTAAAAAGTAAAGCTGTGCTTCCCCATTTCTTTGTTTCCTAAAAGGCCCAACATTAATAGTTTCTTATATGTCTTTCAGACATTAAAACTGAATACGAAACATACCTTTTTTAATGAAAATGAAATCATACTGTATATACTATTCCTCCTTTTTTTGGGTAGTGCTTAGTTTTCTAATTAACAAAGGCTTATTTATCCTCTTATTGATTACTAAGGTAGGTTCATTGTAGAAATCCTGAAAATCACTGAAAAGTAGAAAAAAAAGTCATTCATGATTGTCTTTTCCAAAGAATGTTAAAATTTCTATATGTTTTCATCCAGTTATTATTTTTTATGGACTGTTTGTTTTAATGTGCCTTTCATCATGAATCTTTTCAAATCTCTACGTCAATTAGCCTTTTGAGGGACCCATTTTGTTTTTACAAAAAAGCAAATTTTATCCCTACAGAGTTACAAATACAAAACCGTTAGTTCAGATGCAGATACTGTGTAATCTACTGAGTTCATTCTTTAACTAATGTATTTCCCTTACATCAGTCTTAGGATAGGTGTAATTCAAATTCATATTTTAAACAATCTTATGTGGGGTTTGGGAATTGCTTAATGTAGTTGAGATCATTATATTATATCTTGTTTTTTAAGAGTTTACTGAATATAATTCTGTAAACTAATTTTAAAATTTAAGAATTCTTAGATTTTCTAACTTTATTTTTCTATATATTTTTGTTTTGGTGGGAATACATTTATGAAATTATAGCAGAAGTCAGTGGGAAAAGACAATTTAAATAATATATATACAACTACTCAGATTTTAAAGTATGTTGTTATATAATGTAGCATTTTTATACCTCTTGCACTTATATTACATTGTCATGAACACTCTATGAGTAAGTAGTTGGCCAAGTGAAGAGAAAAAGAAAAATACAATGAAGTTAAGTCTCTTGTTCAGGATCATGCATTTACTTAAAGGAAAAACTAAAACTAAATGCTAGATTATCTGACCCATAAAGCAACACATTTATTTTTACCACAGAGCCTGATGCAATACTGAAAGCTTTTCAGATACTGAGTGATTCATTATCTGTATTAGGTTCTAAAATGATAAGGAATGTATGTAGTTTCCATTTTGGGTGAAACAAAAATGAAAGATTTTACCATGAAAAGAAGTTTGAGTGTCCAAGAGAAAAAGCAGTAGTCTTAATTTTGGAATGATTATACTCATTCAGTGATTTCAAATAAAGAAGTTAAATTTTACCACGTTTTCTGTTTTTATCCTGCTATTGTCAAATGAATAATAATTTCATGTGTGGTGGAATTTATGTGATAATAAGTTTATAATCATATTCTTAAATATCATAACCTTTGAAATAAGATTTCCTGGTGTTGCTTATACCTTAATTATTTTTGTTTCTGACCTTAATATTTTTTTTAAAGGGTGAAACCACTTCACTATATCTCTTGGCTGGTTGGACATGAAGGCAAAGGCAGCATTCTTTCTTACCTTAGAAAAAAGCAAGTATTTAATTAATAAGTATTTTTAGTATACCAATGTCTGAAAAATAATAGACAGTAAACATTCTATAACCCATTCTTTTGACTTTATTTGCCAGAAAGCCTAGCATCAAATCTAATGCTTAATTATAGTCACTTAATACCTAGGTTATGTTAATAGTCCTATTATATTTATTTCCTTGGGAGCCACCTTTTAGCCCTTGTTGGAAGTAGTACACAAAATTTAAAAAAATCATAAAAAAATAGATTCCAGAGTTACATAGAAGGTTAGCTCTAATCAGGAATTTAGATTTGAATAGTAAAGAAGTTGGTTATTTAAATGCTATGGATCTCCAGACTGTCCTAACCCAAAAGGTGGACTTTAAAACTACATTGGGCAGAGAAAGCGTAACAAATAGTGGGACTATAAACATTCTGTGCAGCTGTGTTAGCAGAATGTTTCCTAATAGATTTAAGCATTTGCTTAAGTTGCCTAGCCAAATCACAGAAATCTAGCTTTAAATCAGGACCAATAATTAAAGTACGTCCTTGTTTGATTTTTCTGTAGAGTAATTCAAGAATGGAAAGGAAGATGAGAATTATAAATAAGTACTTTAAAGTACTTATAGGACCAGAACATTCAAAGAAAGCTAAAAGGCCAGGGTTATTACAAAAGAATAATGATAATAGTTACATATATGACTTACATAATAAATGCAAAATGCTTTGAGATGTGCTCAATCTCTCTATATTACTGAACTTTTTTAGAATTTCACATTCTTCATTCTGGCTTCCTCCTTTCTTACTTTAGGTTTTCAGGATTATTCTAGTCAGGAAAAGATACAGTTTCACTGCTTCTTTCTTAAACAACCTGTAGAGGTTAGCTGATAGTGTCAAAGGGCTCACTTGACATCCTAAGGAGAGATGTATCTGAAATGTTTAAGCTGCTTCTGGGAGATGGGTTCGAGAGGGATGAGTGAAATGCCTCCCAGCAACCATAATTTTAATATTTTGTACTGTTCTCTTCAACAATAATAACTATGTCTTCATAAACCTGTTTTACTATGTTGTAATATATATATTTGTTTCCATTAAACAAATAAATATGGCTGTTATTTCCTTCTGGTGATTCTTGCATGCAGTGCAATTGTTTGGGACGCCTTGTACTTTAGAAATTTGTACTTTTAAACTTACCTTTGGAAAGTACATTTGCCTCAAAGACTGAGCTTCCCAAATTTTATATAGAAAGCCTACCTATTTTGTTAATTTGAAGTATTTGTAGGCTATTAATCCCAAGATATTGATTGGATTCATTTTTTCCTAACAATAGGTGCTGGGCTCTTGCACTATTTGGTGGAAATGGTGAGACAGGATTTGAGCAAAATTCTACTTACTCAGTGTTCAGCATTTCTATTACATTGACTGATGAGGGTTATGAACATTTCTATGAGGTAAATAATTAAAATGGAATTAAAAAAATATAGATATTACTTTATGCAAAAGCATAATCAGATATTTTGTTTTCAGGTTGCTCATACTGTCTTCCAGTATTTGAAAATGCTGCAGAAGCTAGGCCCAGAAAAAAGGTAATATATAGATACTAGAATTAGGCTAGGAATCAATCCTAGTGTGTTTTAGCATTCAGACTGACAAATAGACATGCTTTAGTCCTACCAAGATAGTTTTTTAGGCATTTCCTGCCTAAGTTCCTTCACTGGCTCCATATCCTGCTTCTTCTACCTGTGAATATTACATGAGAACACGAAATGTTAAGGGTTTACGATTATGTGGCCAGTCTGTTTTTTCTCTTTTCTTGCTGAGGATTCGAATGAGAAATGTAAATATATCTTCTACTTATAATTTTCTTCTTTCACAGAATTTTTGAAGAGATTCAGAAAATTGAGGATAATGAATTTCATTACCAAGAACAGGTACTGGAAGTTAAATTCTTTTTGAATGTTTTCTGTGATCAAGTTGAAACTCGTGTGGACATTATTCCTCTTTTTGGAAGTGTCACTGGAGTTTTAATTCTGCCACTCTGTGTCATGTGAGCCCCAAGGTGCCCTTGAGGTTATCTGAAAATTAACTTTTGTGTTTCTGAGTTATGTGTATTGTGTAACAGTGAGAGGTGGGCAGATTCACATAGATCATGTTGTGCAACAATCATTTTATATATGTACTCATCCATCTGTCTATGCTTTTGATAAACAGAGCTTGCTATGGTACTTGATATTTGGGAAATTCTAATATTATGAAGACATGAAGAAATTCTGTAGGATAATCTCTAGTAATTACCATATGTACTATTAGAAATGGCATGCTTTAGGATTTCAGGGCAAGGAGAGCATTTGCCTTGATTGGAATAGAATCAGGGAAGGCTCCATGGATGTGGTAAATTTGAATTGAGTTCAACGTTAAAAAATGGATAAAGTTTGGATACATTGTAAGCAACAAGGAAAACATTAAGTAAGGAACTCTGGAATATTGCGAAAAAGTAAATGATCCTGGGTATCTGTAGGATAGGGTATTTGAAAGGAAGGTATTATATAAGGCTGAAAGGTAAGGAGTTTAAAACAGGATTTCTCTAAAACCCTTTTGTGTATTGGATCCTTTTGGAAATCTGTTGAATCCTGTGGACCTCTCCTTAGAATAAGATTTCATCCCTTCAAATTTTTAACCTCTCAGAAAAATTGTCATTGGTTACTGGTTTATCTCTCATCTAGGTTCACCAGTTGTGAATAGTTTTCTATATTTTCTTCTGTCTCTTTTCCTTATATATGTATGTGTGTATGTGTATCTTTTTTCCCAAAACATTTGAGATTTAATTACAGATACCATGGTACTTCACATCTAAATTTTTTTAATTTTAGCATGTATCTGCTACACAAATGTATTCTCTTGCATAACCTCACTAATATTGTCATAGTTGGGAAATCACATTGAAACAATATTGTTGAATATTATACAATTCATAAAATATTGTATTTAAGTGCATAAAATAAAATATAGCAGTTTACAAACGACTGTTGAAGTATAAAGTACTTAAAACGGTAAAAAAAAAATAGTAATGTGTCTCTTTCTTAACATATTAAACAACAAGGTCTAGCAGTAGGTCTAACAATTATTTCAGTTTTAAGTAGCAGTGTGAGATATCTACAACTATATTGTGATTTTTTTATTGGTTCGTCATAGATGCTGCTAATACAACTGTGACCTGTTGCTTATATTCATAATAGAATAAAAATGCTAATTTAGAGGTTAGTGAAGATAAATATGTAATTTCTTCCCAAATTTGTGCACATACATGCCCCTGAATTTGTCCACTGTTCTATCTTGTGGGAGATGTCTGTGGACCCTGGATTAAAAGCCTCTATTTAGAACTGCTTCACAGAACATCTTGAAGCTGCCTTTTTGGATCATCACCAGAGACAATTCTCTGAGTATTTACTATAAGTAAAGAAGATTTAGGTATATGTGACAAGGTCACAAAAACTGTAAGCGTCCCGTTGCTGTTGATTCCTGTGTAACCTGCTCTTTGCACTTGAATCATTGAAATCGAAATAGAAATGTTATTCTAAGGGCACCTGGGTGGCTCAGTTAGTTAAGTGTCTGATTCTTGATTTTGGTTCAGGTCATGATCTCATGATCATGAGATTGAGCCCTGTGTCCCAGCGTGGAGCCTGCTTATGATTTTTTCTCTGCCCCTCCTCCACTTGTGCTTACACACGTGCGTGCATGCTCTCAAAACAAAACAAAACAAAACAAAACAACCACCACCACCACCAAGAACCAAAAAACCAAAAAGAAAATCTTATTCTATGAAATCAGAAAGGCTGCTATGACACATATATTGGCCATTAGAGTGTTCTATAAACACTCTTCCCTATAAGTGGACTGATATGCATAGAACTCCACAAGACCTGCCTCCTACCTTACCAGGAGTGATTTTGTGCAGTGTCCTTATCAGCTGTGGTGGCAACATGTGGGTCAGAACTATGGCAGGGAAGGAGTGGGATCAAGAATTGTAGAATACAACCATATGTGATACCCACATTCCGTTTTTGAGGATCAGCTTTTTAGCATTGGTTGAGTGAGTGACACTTTTGTTCTGTCCCTCCAGTTTCTTCTTAGCAAAACATTTCGGGTATCTTTTACTGAAATCTCCCCATTTTGTAGCTCATTTTTTTTTTTTTTTTACCTTTAACAATATTCATGAATACTTGTCTTGATTTTAAAACATGTGCCCAAGACATCTTAATTTTAAACCTAATCAGTGAAAAGTGAGAACAAATCAGAAAGGTCTATATCTCTGTGTGAACTGCTAACTCAAGTTAATTATTTTAATTATTTTTAAGGCTTTTATAAATTTTTTTTAACAAAGTTGGAATGCCTCCTCTTTAGACTTTCTGATTTTCATCAATAAAGGCAAATAGGAATTCCCTTTCCAAACTATTCACATCAGTCTTATTTAATTAAGAAATCTAAAAAATTATTTTCCATAGGAACTTGAACTCAATATATCTTATAAATCAATAATTTGAATTAGAAAAAGCTGCTTAAATTCTTTTCTGCAGGCAGAAAAACAGCAATAATGTAACAATAATGGAAGGCAGTAAGAAGTAGATAAAAAAAATTAGAGGACAGACAATAACAAGTGTTGGAGAAGAAGTAGAGAAATTAGAACCCTCATATATTGCTGGTAGGATTGTAAAATGGTGCAGCTGCTTTGGGAAACAGCTTGGCATTTCCTTAAAAAGTTACATAGAGTTACCATATAAGCTCTACCATTAGTTCTATTCCTAGGTGTATACAAGAGAATAGAAAAACTGTCCACACAAATGCTTGTACACAAGTGTTTATAGTAGCAATATTCATTATAGGCCCAAAGTGGAAACATGCAAATGCCCATCAACAAATGAATGGTTAAACAAAATGTAGAATATGCATACTGTGGAATGTTAGCTGTGAGAAGGAATGAGGTACTGATTCATGCTACAACATGGATGAACCTTGAAAACATGCTAAATGAAAGAAGCCAGTCACTGCAGGTTGCATATTAATATGATTCCATTTATATGAAGTTTCCAGAATAGGTAAATTCATAGAAATACAACACAGATTGATGGTTGCCAGTGGCTAGGGGGAGTGGGTAGCAGGGAGTGACTGCTTAGCGGTTATGGGAGTTTCATTTTGGGGTGATGAAAATATTCTCGAACTAAATAGTGGTGATGGTTGTACAGTTTTGTAAATATACTAAAAACCACTGAATTGTACGCTTTATTTTAAATTTTACTTCATTTTTAATTGTGCACTTTAGAAGTGTGAATTTTATGGTATGTGGATTAATATCTTTAAAAAATTAAGAGGATAGCATTTAAGTGTTTTTCTTAATACCTGCTCCATTGCTTTGGTACTGGAGATCTGCTTTTAGCCAAGGTCCTTAGTGTTTTTTTATTGGAAATATTTTGAATCATTCAATTTTGTTGCATACTGACCATTTACTTACTTTATAACTAAGTGGCTAGTGAGAATAACTTATTTTTTTTTTTAATTTTTTTTTTCAAAGTTTATTTATTTTTGGGACAGAGAGAGACAGAGCATGAACGGGGGAGGGGCAGAGAGAGAGGGAGACACAGAATGGGAAACAGGCTCCAGGCTCTGAGCCATCAGCCCAGAGCCTGACGCGGGGCTCGAACTCACGGACCGCGAGATCGTGACCTGGCTGAAGTCAGACGCTTAACCGACTGCACCACCCAGGCGCCCCGAGAATAACTTATTTTTAAAAAGTAGAAGAGAGTAGGAGGAATCGTTTTAAATAATAATAGCACCTTAGTGACTAGTCAACTTGATTCAGGAATGTTTCCTGAAGTGGGGCAAAAAACAAAAACAAAACCTAACAGTGTTTCCTTACTTTCTTCTTCTTCTATTTTTATGTGATAATATAGTAGATAATATATACCTATGGTCTCTAGTTTGATGTATGCATGCATTAGTTCTTCTCCATAAATGCAGTAACCTTCACTTCTCCTGTGTCTTCCATTAGATGAGAGAACAACCCATTCTGTCTAGTAAAGGACTGGATAGTGTGGTATTTTAGAAAGCGTGTTTGCTGCTACATTAGGAGCCCTGAGTTCTAGTGTCTACTCTGCCTGATGCTTAATGTGTGACTTTGGGCAAGTCATCCAATCAGTCTGGGTGTATTTCCTTATAAAATGTGGGAATGGAACCACTTGGTGTCTGAAGGACTTGTCAGTTTTAAGATTCTGTGCCTCTGGGTGCTCAATAAGTACTTGAATTGATTGCTTTCCTCTGAAAAAGTATTTCCATTTCATAGGTTAGAGAACTTGTGGTCACTCTTTCATTTTTAAATTGAGGTAATATACTGATTAATATAATTTCTTATATCAAGACTTTGACACATTTTGATTTCTACGTTGATCTGATTCATGTTTACAGATAGTTTTCAAGTGATAGTGCTGTAGTGATACATGATGAAGACCCTGTCTTTATGGGCATCATCAGTCATATGGGGTACTTGACATATAAATAAGCATTTACAATTCAGTGTTGTAATTATTCTCACAAAGAGGTCATGACATGATTAGAGCCTTGTGTGTTGTTGGGCTCAGGTTGGGGATTGGAGGGGTGTCAGGTTAAACTCCTTAAGATGGTAACTCTGGCTAAATTTTCTTAGAATTCAGAGCATCAAATTCTTTTTCTTTCTCTCTTTCTCTCTTTCTCTCTTTCTCTCTCTCTCTCTCTCTCTCTCTCTCTCTCTCCCTCCCTCCCTCCCTCCCTCCCTCCCTCCCCGCCCCCCCAATGGGGAGCTCAAGTGAGCATCAGATGCTTAAGCTAAAATTGTATCTGGTTATTTCTGTTCAGAAGCTCTTGGTTTCATTGTTCATAAAAAGAGAAAAAGTATATTTTGTGGTAAATTAAGGATAATGGAAGTTTCTGGTGTGAAATAATTACATCTCTTTACAGACAGATCCAGTTGAGTATGTGGAAAATATGTGTGAAAACATGCAGCTGTACCCGCTACAGGACTTCCTCACTGGAGATCAGCTTCTTTTTGAATACAAGCCAGAAGTAAGGACATTTCATTTCTGAGAGTTACTTTTAGACAGAGAGAAGGGGGAGAAGTGCAGACATGACTTAGGAACTGTGAGAATGTAGACAACTTGGTTAAATATGTCAGATTTTTTGTTTGTTTAAATGGAAGAAATAACAGTATTTTTTTTTTTGGCAGTTTTTCATGATTGTTATATATGATTATGTTTTAATATGAGGAGAAAACCAAGTCCGTTTCTTAGGTACTATTATTCTCACTGTTTTTCAAGTGTTGAAACATCTACTAAAACAATTAAAGTGATTCCTAAGAATTACATGCTTTGGTTATTAAGCTTACTTAGGGAGATGTTTTGCTCACCTTTTTGGTAACCTTACTTAGAGAGTTGTCTTTGCTTACCTTATCTAACTCAGTTAGATACTCTGGGCAATTAAATTTAACCATTTTGAAAATGTTTCTGAGAAATACAAGATTCCCTGGGGCGCTAGGTGGCCCAGTCAGTTAAGCAGCTGACTCTTGATTTTGGCTCAAGTCATGATCTCACAGTTTGTGAGATCAAGCCCCACGTCTGACTTCATACTGACAGCATGGAGCCTGCTTGGGATTCTCTCTCCCTCTTTCTCTGACCCTCTACCCCGCTTGCTCTCTCTCAAAATAAATAAACATTAAAAAAAAAAAATAAAAGATTCCCTGAATTTGAAACATGTGACTTAGAGATAATTATTATATACAAATAAATAGTTGGTTTGGGTCTTTCCTCCTTTACTCGTTGGGGTGAAGTCATTTTGCTCCATATGGGATAGCAGTTCTCAGTTGGCTGATTTTGCCCCCAGGGTATATTTGTCAATGTCTGGAGACATTTCAGTTGTCATAACTGTGGGATGCTCTTGGCATCTAGTGGGTTAGAGGCCAGAAATGGCAGCTAAACATCTTATAGTGCAAAAGACAGCACCCCACAATAAAGTATTATTTGGTCCAAGATGTTAATAATGCTGAGATTGAGAAATCTTGATTAGGGTATTCCAAAACTACTAATTTTATTTATTTATTTATTAAAAAAAATTTTTTTTTCAACGTTTATTTATTTTTGGGACAGAGAGAGACAGAGCATGAACGGGGGAGGAGCAGAGAGAGAGGGAGACACAGAATCGGAAACAGGCTCCAGGCTCTGAGCCATCAGCCCAGAGCCTGATGCGGGGCTCGAACTCAGGGACCGCGAGGTCGTGACCTGGCTGAAGTCGGACGCTTAACTGACTGCGCTACCCAGGCGCCCCCAAAACCACTAATTTTAAAGATAACAGAAAGGTGGGGGACCTGGGTGGTTCAGTCAATTGTCTGACTTAAGCTCAGGTCATGATCTCATGGTTTGTGAGTTTGAGCTCCACATCAGGCTCTGTGCTGACAGTTCAGAGCCTGGAGCCTGCTTGGGATTGTGTGTTTCCCTCTCTCTTTGCCCCTCCCCTACTCATTCTCTCCCTCTCCCTCTCTCTCTCTCTCTCTGTCAAAAATAAACATACATTAAAAAAAAAAAAGATAATGGAAAGGTAAAGGAAGAGGCAGTGATAATATTCTTGTTATCTCCTGGGAATATTGTGTCCAGGGTCCCAAGTAGTTTATTCTGAACCTCCATTTGTTGTGTTTCTCAAAGAAATGGTATTTAAATGCTAGTCAGGGTTTCAAACTTTACCCACAAAATCTTTTGTTTATTCCTGTCATAGCTGAAGGATTATTGAAGGAGGCCCTGCAATGGTATCATGTTACTGATTCTTGGGGATGAAGGTAGTATAATACCTAGGGGTTAAGAGCATAGTCTTTGGAATCATGTACGAACTTGTTTAGAACTCCACCTTTGCCACTTCTAGATGTGTTGTTCTGTGCAGATTATGTAATCTTTAACCTGAACAAATTACTTAATTTTTAATAGGAACCTGAGTATTATTTTTTATAAAATGGGTATGCTTAGAGTTGTTTTTAGGATTAAATGAAATAATGTATATTAAACACTACCTGGTACATAGTAAAACTTAATAAATGAGAGCTGTTTCTACTGTTAGCACTATTATTACGTAGGATTTGAGATGGGCACTGTTTATAGCTTATCAAGAAACATTTGAAACAATAGACTAACAAAGTTTTATAAATTACGGTGTTCATGATGATAATTTCATGAGCATTAAGATGCTAGGATCTTGGGGATGCCTACCATAATGTGATTTTGCCTTTTTAACAGAGATGTATTAGGTTAAAGTTACTATTGTGTATGTGTGTGTGTCTCTCTACCTTCCCCTGATTAGGTCATTGCTGAAGCTCTTAATCAGCTACTGCCACAAAAAGCAAATCTTGTTCTACTGTCTGGTGCTAATGAGGGAAAATGTGACCTCAAGGAGAAATGGTTTGGGACTCAGTATAGTATGGAAGGTAAAATATTTTAATAATAGTCCCACATTTATCTAACTCAACTGAGAATTTTTATTCCTTAATATTTCATCTGATGGTTCCTATGGGAAAAAAGTATATCCTTTTTTTAGGAGTTGACTTTGAAATGAAAATTATACTGCTTAACAGAAAATTATTTTCTGCTGTGTTTTATAGCTATTTATTAACTAGTAAAAAGAAATCCTGTTTTCTGGATAGTTTGGGGAAGGGTTTTTTGATTGTGTTTTAGCAAAGTACTTCTGAAACTTCAGTGTACATATAGTATCACCTAGAAATCTTATTAAAATACAGATTCTTATTCGCTAGCTCTGGAGTAGTGCCTGAGATTCTGCATTTCTAACAAGCTCCCAGGTGATACCAGTGCTGCTAAGACTACACTTTGAGTGGTAAATAGCTAGAATGCCTGGATATATTATAGTTTTCCTAAGAAAAGAGAATCGATTTGTGAAGGCTGGTTGTTAACTGGTTTGTCATTAAGAGAATTCTCAACATTGCTTGTTTATTGGATCAGTTTGTTTTTCATCTCCACAGATGTTGAAAACTCGTGGGCTGACCTGTGGAAGTCTAATTTCGACTTAAATCCAGATCTTCATCTTCCAGCTGAAAACAAGTACATAGGTCAGTGAAATAGCAATAATTATACATAATTCATTTATGTAGTAATAAAACAAAGCAAATAGCATCTATATAGTACATTTCCAAAGTATCATTTGAATTCATATTTCAGCTTCCCAGTGTAACACTCTGGGATAGGGATTACTGTTTTCTTACTTTTTTGAATGAGAAAACCTGAGGCTTAAAAAAGGAAAGTAACATGTCCCAGACTATTCAGTTGGTAAATGGAGGAAACAGGACTTAAATGTAGATCTTGGGACTCTGAAGCTTTTGCTTTTTTTTGTATGTCATAGCTGATCCTTCCCTATCATCTCTGTAGGAATTGCCTTGCTAGTGTTTTTCAAACTACAAGGTTTGTGAAATCAGTGTAATGGGTTGTGAGTTCTGTGTAATGAGTTATGAAAGCATTAAAAAAATTAATTAGGATGGAAAATAGCAAAATGTTTAATTTCATAAAGTATTATTTCAAGAACTTTTATTCCGTGTAGGTATATATGTTTGTATCTGTGCCTGTGTACTAGCTTGCAGTGGGAAACATTCTAACTATGAGAAAGCTACCTAAGTCAAAGGTTACAATTGTATATAACTAATTTATTCAGAATTTTCCCTAGCAATTCCACTCCTAGGAATATACCCAAAAGAATTGAAAATGGGTACTCAAACAAATACATGTACATGCATGTTCATAGCAGCATTATTCACAGTAGTCAAAAGTGGAAATAGCTCATATGTCCATCAGTGAATGAATGGATAAACAAATTGTGGTAAGTATATACAAAGGAGTAATAGTCATAAAAAGAAATGAGGTATATACATGCTACAATGTGGATGAACCTTAAAAACATGCTAAAGAAGCCAGACACAGGAGGTTATAGGTTGTATGATTCCATTTATGGATCCATTTATGATATATCCAGGATATATATATATCCATAGATGAAACACAAATTGATGGTTGCCAGTGGCTGGGGGAAGTGGATAATAGGGAGTGACTGTAATGGGTTTAAAGATTTTCTTTTAGGGTGATGAAAATGTTTTGAAACTGGATAGAAGTGTTGGTTGCACAACATTGTGCATGTACTAAATACCCCTGAATTGTTCACTTTAAAATGCTTAATTTTGTTATGTGAGTCTAACCTCAATTAGGAAAAAAAGCCTTTTAAAAAAGTCTCACATATTTTAGACCATTCATTTCCACATCTTGAACTTTAAGTATCTAAACAACCCAATTCTTCTTAATAAATATAACCAGTAGTTTTTTCTGTTCTATAGTTTTCTCTTAAGTAGTTATTTCTCACCTACATATTGATGAAAGAATTTAGGTTTTCATTAACTGAGAGGACATGTTTGACTTTCACTTTTTTGTTACCTTTCAGAAGTCTGTAAGATTGGTAAAAGACATTCAAGAATGGATTCATTTATAAATTGGTTTATACAACCATCCTGACTAAAGGTCCCTCTTACGGTTAACATTGTCTTTGAGAAAGGGAATGAAGCAGAATGCAGAGAGATCAGAATTGACCTTTAGGAAATTACAAATCTTCAGAGTTCATTTAGTTTAAGACCAAGAGAATTTTCTATTCTGTATTGTTTTACTAATTTACTGTTCTCTAGCATCTTAATTTGGCTTATTTTTGCCACAAAAGTTACCTAGACTTCAGAACTGAAGATTGTTGGGAATCTTGCTGAAATACCTGAATTAATGATTACTCTTTTCTGTTGTTAGCCACGGACTTCATGTTGAAGGCTTTTGATTGCCCTGAGACAGAATACCCTGTTAAAATTGTGAATACTCTACAAGGTTGCCTGTGGTATAAGAAAGACAACAAATTCAAAATTCCCAAAGGTAAAATGTTTCCCTCTCTAATTGGAGTGAAATAAGTGTATCAACTCTTTCTCTACTTGGTAGCAACCTTATTTCCCTCTATCACCCTTTCTCCTTTCTCTTCATTTGAAGATGTTTTCTAGGCTTATCTATCAGATTCATACTGTGCTCCAGTGCTGTCATGGAAACCCTTGTATACCTTACAGATTCTAGGAAATAAGTAAAGATTCAAGGCTAAAATGAAATCGTTGTCAAGTATTTTTTCTTCTGGTTAAATGAAAGCAGAGCCAGGTGTTTGGCCATCTTAGGGAATGGTGGTATGTTTTAAACTTTATTTTTAAAAAGAGGATAAAAGTATGCTGAAGGAAATTATTCTGAGACACAATAGATAGCCTTTTCCAACATTACAAATGTGAAATATTCTCCCTCTCTCTCCCTCTATCATTTTGTTTTTCATCATAAAGGAATCATGGTATACAGAAATAGACTCCAAAGTTCTGGTCTTTAATGTGTTAACCCAAACTGTTGCATTTTTATTTTCTGTTCTTGTGAATAGCATAGGAATTTACGGAAGCAACTTAGAATCAAAAAAGCTGAGGGCTCTTCATTGCTATTTAACCCATATTCCTAACCTCAAGACAACTGTAACATAGCTCTGAGGGATTTTTTAGATTACTGGGAGGGTGTTTTTTGAATAGCTTATTAGTGTTTCTTTAGAAAGTCTCTGCTATAGCTCTCTGTGAACATTGGGATTGTTCCGTTGTTTTTGACATGTATACCTCTGTAAACATTTTCTCTGACCAAAGCTATTAATAAAGATGACTATTCCTAGGCTTCTTTGTGTATCTGTCTATATACTTGTGCTTCCCATAGACTGAAGTGTGCCTTCTGAACACTGTTTAGACTGGTAAATATTACTTTTTAAAGACACTTCAGGATAAAAATGTAATGCGGATTTAAGGGCTAGTAGCTTACTTCAGAATTTTTAGAGGTACTTGGGTGGCTCAGTCGGTTAAGCGTCCAACTGTTGACTTTGGCTCAGGTCATGATTTCGTGATTTGTAAGTTGGAGCCCTACATCACGTGCTGACAGTGCAGAACCTGCCTGGGATTCTGTCTCTCCCTCTCTCTCTCTGCCCCTTCCCCTTGGCTCTTTATCTCTCTCAAGATAAATAAAAATAAACTTAAAAAAAAAAAAAGAATTTTTAGAAAATATGTTAGGGTCAAATAGCAGATGTATAAAATATTTGAGGCCTCTGGCCTGTAATTTCTTACCTGTTTTTTTTTTTTTTCTTTTAGCATATATACGCTTCCATCTGATTTCACCTTTGATACAGAAGTCTGCAGCAAAGTAAGCAATTGTCCTCTTTTCTGGAAAATATATTTCTTTTTTTTATTTAAAAAAAATTTTTTTTTTTTCAATGTTTATTTATTTTTGGGACAGAGAGAGACAGAGCATGAACGGGGGAGGGGCAGAGAGAGAGGGAGACACAGAATCGGAAACAGGCTCCAGGCTCCGAGCCATCAGCCCAGAGCCTGACGCGGGGCTCGAACTCACGGACCGCGAGATCGTGACCTGGCTGAAGTCGGACGCTTAACCGACTGCGCCACCCAGGCGCCCCTGGAAAATATATTTCTTATGGAAAAACTATTTGGTTGGTTTTGTTCTGAATCATTCTGTTATTTTCTCTATGAGTACTGAGTTATGCTGCTGATTTGTGTATTTTTTCTGTACCCAAAACAAATTATTTGTATTGATACTGAGCATTAAAATGGAATTGTGGCAGTTCCATCTCCACCCATTTATAAAACATGCTGATGGTATAGGCTAATCATAGGATTACTGGACTGAGAAAGTTCCTTAAAGATGGGTTTGGATTAGCTTCTAGTTTGTAATGAGAATGAATGGATCTGTTTGATCCTATGTTTAGAAACTGGCAAGGAATCTGATTATACTTTGTTCTTAGCAAATAATTTATGTATTTATACAGATACCTGCACTGTGGGAGGTCAGAGCCTAAAATGTCCCTGAAACATAGGAGGTGCTCAGGAAATGTTACTGTACTTCTTCCTTTCCTTTGCTACTTAAACTGTAAAATCTGGGGAGCCTGGGTGGCTCAGTTGGTTAAGCATCGACTTTAGCTCAGGTCATGATCTCACAGTTCATGAATTCAAGTCCCATGTCAGGCTCTGTGCTGACAGCTCAGAGCCTGGAGCTTGCTTTAGATTCTGTGTCTCCCTCTCTCTCTCTGCCCTTCCCCTGCTCATGCTCTGTCTCTCAGCAATAAATAAATGTTAAAAAAAATATTAATAATAAAAATAAATAAATAAATTGTAAAATCTAACCTTAAAATGATAAGCAGCACTAACATTTATTAATACCACATAAAAAAATGTATTAATCTCCCCCTTCACTCAGATTTTTAATTTGTCAGTCAGAAAACCTAGGCTGCGGGGATGGCCAGAGCCTTTGGGCCAATTGCCTTGTATGCCTTTTACACTTACCCCGTTTTTCAGTATAAATATTAACATTTTGTATGTGTATATAACATGAAAAAGATTGGGAAGCACTGCTAAAGGTAGGTGTCTGTAATGTCCCTGTAAAATTGAATCCTAGGTAAACTCTAACTCAGTACACAGTTTTACATTCTGGAGTAGTGGAATTAACATCTTGCTAAAAGTGAAGTTTCCTGTTGTTAAATCAAAGTACATTTATTTGTGTTTATTTCTTGCCAATTAATAGTGCTATTTGTATTTTATATTCTCAGTGTGGTTCTCTTTGATATCTTTGTCAATATCCTTACCCATAACCTTGCGGAACCAGCTTATGAAGCAGATGTGGCACAGCTAGAGTATAAGTTGGTAGCTGGAGAACATGGTTTAATTATTCGAGTGAAAGGATTCAACCACAAACTACCTGTAAGTACACATGTTCTGTTTTCCTCATAGAGAGCTTGAAATTTTATGTTTGTTGCCCCTAAAGCACAAAGTATAGAGGTTTATGCATGCGTTGCTATACATAGAACAAAATGTGGATTCTTGGCTGGTGACAGCTATTCTAACTTGGGCCACACATAAGAGCAATATACATTCATTAATTATTAGCAATGCATGCAGTACAGTCTATGCCTCAGGCTTGATTTCCCTTCCCTTTGCTGTCCGTTCCTCTGCAGCCAACACTGGCATTTTGGACTGGTGTGAGCTTAATTTCATGCTCAGGCAGTAATAACAAATTTAAAGCACGTGGCACATTACCTGACAGAGTAGAACTCAAATATTTGTATCTTTCCTTCTTCCTCTTTCACTCCATCCCTTTGTTTCAAGTATGTGTCTTATTTCCCTTCTAAGTTTTTGAGCCTTTTAGAAACAGGGTCTATGTATCTTGTGGTTAATTTATCTTTTGGTAAGGAATATGTTTCAGTGTTATTTGTCAAAAAGTTCTTAAGCAGAAGAAGAAATAATATGGGATGCTAGCTAAGAGGGTTATGCCATTAAATACCAGCTAAAATAATATGTGTCCATCAACAAATTTTATATCTTGATTTCTTGTGTAGGACATATATTAAGATTTGCGGAACTAGGTTCATACAAGAAAAACTGTGGAGGAAAAGACCTGGCAGAAGTTAGACCTGTGCTAAGAGGCCTCTCTGTCATAGCCAAACCCAAGAGCAGACTATAGTTCTCTTCTTTGTACCCTTGTCCCTATTACTGTCCCAGAGAACAAAGATTGGTTTTAGGAGGAGACACTGTGGAATATTTAACCTTTATCAACCTTCAAAGATCTAAGTGTAAGGTAGCTTAGAGCCAAACAAATTAAAGCCTAATAACATTGGTTGTCATTTAAGAGGTATGTTTTGAAATTACCTGGGGAGCTTTTAAAAAATATAAGCCATATTCTGTGCTGACAGTGTGGAGCCTGCTTGGGATTCTGTCTCTCTGCTTCTGTGCTGAGCGCACACATATGTGTGTGCTTTCTCTCTAAGTAAATAAATGTAAAAAAATATATATGTAAGGTATAGACAAGTATTTGAGGCTCTTAATTTTATGAAGCTTACCTAGCCTTAATATTAAAACCTGGTATAGAATCTATCAATCTCTCTCTCTCTCTCTCTCTCTCTCTCTCTCAAAGTAGACACTAGTTTCACCTATATAATATGGACTCAGACATTTAAAAAATAAATTAAAAATGTAACAAAAAGAATAATTCATGTGATCAAATGGGAAGAATGCAAAGGATTGGTTCAATATTAAGTTGATGAACACAAATCATCATAACAGGTCGATTGAGAAACATTATATGATAAGTGCTAAAAAATCATCTGATAAATGTAAGTAGGCATTCTTAATAAGTAGGAATAGAGGGAAATTAAATACAGTAAAAACCTTCAGGGGCGCCTGGGTGGCTCAGTCACTTAAGCGTCTCAGTTCCGCTCGGGTCACGATCTCATGGTTTGTGGATTTGAGCCCCATGTCAGGCCCTGTGCTGATAGCTCAGTCTGGAGCCAGCTTCAGATTCTGTGTCTCCTTCTCTCCCTGCTGCTTTCCTACTCATACTCTGTCTCTCTCAAAAATAAAACATTAAAGAGAAATTTAAAACCTTCATTAAGAACAGTAACAGCAAATGTTATAGTAACTGATGAAATGCTGAACACTAAAATCAGGAACAAGCCAAGGAAGCACATGATCATCTCTATTATTCTGGCTACTACATTAAAATGGAAAAAAAAAAATCCAGTTGGAAAAGAAAAAGTATTCCCCTTTGCAGATGATATGATTGTATTCTTAGAAAACCTAAGAATCTACTGAAGTTTAAAAAATAACATGATGCGGCTGGTCATGAGATCGGTATATCAAAATCAATAGCTCTTTTTCCTATAGTAGCAATAACCACATAGAAATGGATGGAAAAAGTACTCCGTTATATGATATTGAGAAAAATGGAATACCTAGGAATAAGGAAGAAAAGTACAGAATCTCTCTAAAGGAAACCAGAAATCTTACAGAATCATATAAATAAAAGACTTTAAATAATAGAGAGAGAGACTCATTATGTTTCTGGATAGAATAGCTTTGATAGAAAGTTGTCATTACTTCCAAAATTAATATATATATGTAATGCCCTCTCAGTTAAAGTCAAATTAGGGGCAATGGAGATGCTGAATAAAAAGTGATTTAAGTTTATTTGGATGAAAAAAAATGTTTAAGAATACCCATGAAAACTATTTAAAAAAAAAAAAAGAAGTAATCATTGCTTCAAATTTCACAGTTATTGAGGATTTTAGCTCCTAAAGATCCTTGAGTCACGTACTTCTCTGGTAAAAAACAATGGAAAAACCTTCCCCCTCATCCCTGCCCCAAAACGTAGTGAATTTCATGCTTCTCTACTTAAAGTGCTTTTTTCTTTTCTTTTTAGCTACTATTTCAGCTCATTATTGACTACTTAGCGGAATTCAGTTCCACACCAGCTGTTTTTACAATGATAACTGAGCAGTTGAAGAAGACCTACTTTAACATCCTCATCAAGCCTGAGACTCTGGCCAAGTGGGTATACATAGAATCAGCTTATATATATATATGTGTGTGTGTGTGTGTGTGTGTGTGTGTGTGTGTGTGTGTGTGTGT